GGAATTACGGAATCGATTTCACATAATATATGCACATCGGGACCTTATATGCTATGCTTTACACACCGACTCTTAGTCCTGCGCAAAGGTTAGTAAGTTGAAATGGGAAAACCTTTGGAAGTTTAGGTGGAAAACGAGAGGGACTTTCACGAATCGCTTCTGAGAATTCAACATCGCGAGTTATTACATGCCATTGGTAAGAAAAAAACTATACAATTTCCCATTATGACATTACATTCGGTATCTGAAGGAAGCTAACAGTTTAATATGCGTGCTTGTATGGCAACTCATTTCTCTGATAGCTTGGTATGATGTGTACCAGCTAGATAAAATAACAAACTATACTTTCAATGGAAAATCTCTGAAGTCAACGTCACATATGCAGTGTATAAAGTAAATGCATAAGTAAACGCTTGTATTAAAGAGGAAATCTTGGTGAGTTGACATGGTATCAACGTAAGTAGCACGTTATCTCTTGCACGCATAAATAGGTACAGAGAGAGGAGAGAGAGAGAGAGAGAAGAGAAGAGAGAGAGAGAGAGAGAGAGAGAGAGAGAGAGAGAGAGAGAGAGAGAGAGAGAGAGAGAGAGAGAGAGAGAGAGAGAGAGAGAGAGAGAGAGAGAGAGAGAGAGAGAGAGAGAGAGAGAGAGAGAGAGAGGAACAATTGGGAATATTATTTTGTGAACTGCTCAGACACGATAGCATCTGACGTGGGAACTGAATATCACAATGCATTATGTATCAGCATATAATAACAGCATACTTTTGTGGGCTGGTACAACATAGCAGCACATCTCACATGTTTTAACATGACTATATCTGCGATGTATCCGATATGCTAGAAATCGTAAGAAAATTAATTAAAACTGGTTCATGAATATTTCTACCGTCTATCTAAATAACTGCACTGTATGGCGTCCGGTTCGGTACTATAGGCATAAGAAACTAGTATCTTCGTGAGTCTAAAAACTGCCTTTATGTTTGCAATGAAGTCAGTTTAGAATTTAGGCTTTGTTCAGTATATTTCTACATAATGATGTAAGTAATAACAGAGAGAAATGGTGATATGTTAGTATTTTTTAAAATTTGGTTTAATGGAGTGCTACTTTCTTGATAGTATTTCATAAAAGACCTTTGAAGAAATAATTCAATTTGAAGTAAGTAATGAACTATACAGCAGTGCAACTCTTTACAATTCATACCTAGCATATCAGCTACATAACAGTGTCCCTGGTATGTCAGTAACTACACAACAGTGAAAATGGCACGTAAGATGATGCAAACACTCGAGATGCCAGGGCCAGGAGGCATTAACACATAGCTCTCACACATGGTCATCGTTGGTACATTACTGAGTATATGAAGAACATTTTTTTTCTTTTTTCCTAAACAAACTACGAGAACTTTTTAAAAGTCTTTGGGTGAGGAAAACCTTCAGAGCTTAAATTTTCATAATAACGCGCTGAGTGAGTGTTGTGCAGGGTACTAGTACAAGCATCTAGCAATCTCCGCTCCACGAGTCGGTGCCTCCCACTACCAAAGCGTCCTTGGCGTGGTGTCTTGTAGACTAATTGTAATGTCCTCTTGTGGATTTGAATTTCCCTCGCTCAACCACGACTTAAACTAGCATTCACGAAGCATACAATCGACTAGTGATTGGCAATGCGTAACACAGCGGCAGCAGCCCAGCTGACACTGACAGAGGTGACCAGCACGAGCCATCTGGTCGACATGCGCGAGGAGCCCAGCCAGCAGCGCCCTCGGGTCTCCTGGCTTCCCCTCTCGCACCCAAGAGGTCGGGTCCAGGGAGGGAGAGGGAGGGGGAGAAGGGTGCTGCTTGGGGGTTCCTTTGAGTGTCTGGCTGGCAAGAACTTGGCTTATTTATATTCATTTTCGGTCTTTCTTTTTTTATTTGAATCACTGAAGTAGATGGCAATACTCTCTCTGCTTTCCCTCCAACTGGTTTGGTGACTGTATGGATATTTCAGAGATAACTGAACACTTACTACTTTAATATATGTCTATTCCTTTATCTGTTTAATTTCTATGACCTCTCACGGACATACACGCACACACTCACACACGCACACACACACACACATGTATACATATATACTCACACACATATATACATGTCTGTCTGTATGTATGCATTTAATCACACATGCACAGTTTATCACAAGTGCCTCCCAGAGCGAGCCGTGTGTCGAGCGCGGCGCCCTGACCGCCAGTCCGAGACGGCGTGTGAGTGGGTCACGTGGTGCCTGGAGCGTTCCGTCATCATGTGCGGGCACCACACTGCCACACTCGCGCTCCAGCACAGTTCATAGCCTGAAGGTACTATTATGAGAGAAAATTCTTAAGAGCTAAATTCTAAGTGTAACTCCTCAGGAGATAAAGATTTTCAGCAATTTTAGTTATATCTGATTATAAACTGTGACTTTTGAGAAGAATGACCAACAAATATTCAGTCATGAAGACGAGAGGTAGGAACAGAGTGGTAGAAGCACTGGCGATCAGCTGGAGAAGTCTAAACGCCAGTGGCGGTGCTTGGTGGAGGCGGCAGGTGGCGTGGAGGGGCGGCGGGTGGCGGGGCGGAGTGGAGGAGGGGAGCCGGGCGGCGCCACCGAGGGGGAAGAGGACTCGCCGGCCCTGGCTCGCCCGCTCTCCTGCTGTGTCTTTCCCGCCGCAACTCGCTGTACACCTCGCTGGATATTCATCTCACGTTTTTCCGTGCAGCTGAATTGAGTTTCTAATTTATGGCCAACATTAAATTCTTAAATACGTACTTTAATATACATATATTTATTCGCCTATCATGCACAGAATGGTGTATCAATATCAATTTATCTTACGTAGTCAATAAGCAATGCTTCTTTTTTCCTAACACAAGATATTGCATCTGAAACGTGGTCTACTAAAATCTCTATGACAACCAATAAATAAATGGCGCAACAATGCAAAAATAACTCGCCAACATGGCATCCTTAACTGTAGACTGGTTTCGGAATACAGGAATGGAAGAAGAGAAGGAAATAGGACATGAGATACAGGAGTAAAAGGAAAATAAAACAAAAACAAAACAAAAATCAAACCAAAAACGAAATTTTACATAGTGAAAAAAGCGCAAAAAAAGAAAAAAAGAAAATGAAAACCTTATTACCAACCTACTGCAAGTCTAAAGCTGGGGAATCGAACAAGTCAGTAAGTCCGCTAATCTTTCGAGAACTAAGTCCCATGAGTCCGTTCGTCCGTCAGTGTTACAGGGAGGGTGGAGAGAGGGGCGGGCGAAGGAGAAAGCCTCAAGCCGGCGCCTCTGCTTGGGGAAGAGAGAAGCGCCTGGCACCGGCATCACCCTCGCGGCTCCCTCGAGGCACTGGTGAAGGTGGCAGCGATAAGGTCAATGTACAAACGCAAAAGAACAATCATGTTGATGGAGAATCATGCGAGTCGGAATACAAGGAGAAGCCTAAGGGTTGTCGTGGTCTAGATACTAATGATTTTCTGATGCATACTTATAATCATCATAGAAGTAATAGTAGCAATGATAATGATAATAAGAACAACAATAATAGGAAGAATGATAAGAATAAAAATGGTTATAATAATAACACTATTCATGATGATGATAGTTGTACCCATTCTGCCTTATTTAACGAAGTTATTGAAGCAGGCTTTCCCTACAGCTGAGTATTGCTCCTTCTTCGCCCAGTCCCGCAGCCTGTGATTGAGCCCGTGATCTCAGCCTAACCTAAGAGAGGCATGCCAGTCACTGGGTCACTGAAGGCTTCGACTGCACTGCGCCAGGGGAATTGGCTCAGTGCATGTCGTCCATGCAGTGCCTTCCACATAGAAAGGAAAAGTCAGGCGAAGAAAATAAAAAGGTAAATGAATCAAAAGGAATGGACAATGTTGCAAAGAATGGGCAAAATTGCATACTGATTTATAAAAGAAGTAACAGATGGAATGGGAGCTGAGTGTGATGAGATTGAGGGACAGACCAGGGCACCAAGGTAAAGAAAGAGTTGAAGGAGAAAGAGCAGAGGATGAGGACTGGGGAGGACGGGTGGCTAGTTGTCCATGAAGACGCCTAACGAACAGATTCTACCATACTGTGCACCCGTTATTTACATTATGCACTCCTGTAAAGGCATTGTGTATCACACAGTTCATGAACTTAGTTAATTATGCACTTCGAAGATCCTCTAATACTTGTCAAGAACATGTCCTTTTGCCGGTGGAAAATGCGCATGTCCAGGGTATTTTCTATATCACGTAGGTTCAGTGAGCACCACTCCGCCCCCCTGCACTATGTACACAGTTTCCTCTGTGATGAAACCCCCTCATGGCGCTGCGTAGCTTTCCACCCACAACTCCGCTTCTTTCTCATCTGCTGCCTCGGTCTGGTGCACACCCTGGCCGTCCTCGGGGATGGGATGTGGTGTTGTCGGTGCTTCATACACCGGGTGTTAACAATACTGTGAGCGTGGGCGTGTGTGGGCGGCCATGGGTGGCAGTGTCATCAGGCTTCTCGTCACCTCCGCGCCAGCTACGAGTGAGAGTTGCGAAGACTATCCCCCAGTCTCGCTTGAACCCAGCAGCAGTACCAAGATGGGTAACTAAGGGCCTATTAATCATTCAGAATGTTAAATACAAAAATAAACATATAGTGAATCACTTAGGCCAGTAATATCTGCACAGAGGGTGCGGCACTCGAAGATCGGGAAGCTGATGAGGACAGTTGGACTGTAAACTTAAACAACAAGGCATTAGGAGTGAAGTGTTCCCGAGCAAGAGTGGTCCAACCGCCAACACCAACAAGGTTAACTGTTCGTTAACGGCGGATTTACATATATTTAATATCAGAGCCTTGTGGGACCTCTAGTCGAGCTTTTTCACTTAGCAAACGACTGTGTGCCAATAGCCTTTCAATAAAGCTGTTCACAACTGGCTCCTTTTAGTAGATAAAAAGCAACAACTTATTTACTCGCCTTTTTCAGTCACACATCTGTGGACCGTGACGTCAACGATGGTGATCGCGAGTGAATCACCACCTTATGGCCGTTTTTTGTTATATATCCATCACTTTCCACCAGGACGGCGGTATCTGCTTGCTTGAAGTCTTCTTGGGAATCAGCTTCAGAGAGTGAGGAGAGATCTTTATGCTGTCGGTGTTTGCGCCACGCTTGTTGTATTAGTCGAGCACAATATTCTTCGCGTTGACGCCATAGCGTTGAGGACACTGGTTCGTAACCAGGCCTATCAGTAGGAGGTCCTACTTCACCTATATCACCAGAGTCTTCAATTGGGTTTCCTTTACGAGCGAAGAAGTCCTTAGTCAATGCATCAAGGATATCAACGCAGAATACAAGGTCTCCTTTGCAAATGGGGATATCCATTGACACGATTTTGTACTTGTTTGGCTTGTGAATCTGAAGGGGAGGCTCTAACACGTCCAAAAATTCTGAGAGAGCTGAGAATTCGATAAACTGTGTGCCTTTGGGATCGAACTGCTGCCAGATCTCATAGTACATATCGTAGTCATCGTCGGTGAGACCTTCTTCCACGTCTTCTGTTGCCTGGGAATAATTCTCGAGGATGACAGCAATGTACATGTTGATAATGATGAGGAAGGTCATTACCAGGTAGGCCATCAGGTAGGCTATACCGATCGCTTGGTTACCGCAGTTACCTGGATCGCCGGTCTCCGGATCAGGCTGCCGGCAGTCCCTCTCATTGATAATGCCGGAGAGTACACCGTCCCACCCAGCTGACGTCATCATTTGGAACAGCAAAATGAAAGACTGGAAGAACGTCTCGAAGTTGTAAACAGAGTCCAAGGCCCCAGTGTGTTTGACGTTCATGAAGAATGACATGCCGAAGATTGCGAAGATGAACACAACCAAGAAGAGCAGCAGACAGATGTTGAAGAGCGCGGGCAAGGACATGGCTAGGGCGAAGAGGAGCGTCCTGATACCCTTGGCTCCCTTCACCAGACGCAGGACTCGTCCCACCTTCGCCACGCGGACCACTCGAAGCAACGTCGGGGACACGAAGTAGCGTTCTATGATGTCCTTCAGCACCAGACCTGGACGAAGACGGTAATTAGAAATCGAATAGTATATGTCGTAATATCATAGTCATTGAATGGGAAAAATTTAAATGAATTTCTAACCATAAGACAAAATTTGGAATTTATGATCAAATGCATTATCATGCTGCAGTTCTAAGCCTGCTATGTTAATGACTATTGTAAATTAAAAAGAAATTCGATACCATATTGTGCTATTCAGATAATGGTCTCGATATGAATATGCATAGCAAATACTCAGAAGAAAATCTAACATGCTTTAAAATTACCAGGCTTACAAAACTGATCTTCATTCTTCAAAATAACAAATGTCTCATCTTGGATAAGCAAAATAAGGAGGCATATCTTAAGCATATTAATCTCCCAATTGTTCCAGTGAAACAAAGAACAAAAAAAGACACTGTGATATTGTATTTATTGTTTATATTCCTGCATAAATACTGCTTGACCTAGTGTTTATGTGTAGGCCTACATCTGCATCCAAGAGAGATGGGGTGGATGGGTTGGGGAGTCGTTTTCCTTTCCACATCCCTGAGGCGGTAAAATTTTAAGGGCAGACTTAGGCATTCTCTTTTAAGTGTTTGTTTAATTTTTAATGGGTCGTTGCATTTCGAGTTACCTGTATGGTATATGGTTTATGCATGTACATATCAACACACACACACACATATATACATATATATATATATGTACATATATATATATATATATATATATATATATATATGTATGTATGTATACTAATATGTGTATGTCTGTCAATTGTACACTATACAGTGTTCTTGTATTTATTATTTTTTAATAGTTTTATTCAAATAAATGAAATAACACACACGCACACGCGCACGTCCGCACCCACATACATATATATACATGTGTATATATATATATATATATATATATATATATATATATATATATATATATATATATATATGCATGCGTACTTGACTTTGTTTCAGAACAATCAAACGTGCAGAAAGAAAAATAAGACGTGTGTTGATTAATCATCCGACGCCATCTAGGCCGGAGGGAACTAAGGCTGCGTCCACACCAGTGACATGTTGCTTGGGGACAAATTGGAAACATTGTGGGGGACACAATAGGAGACATTCGGATCCAAACCTCCTGATGTGTATGTGGACAAATCTGTTACAGTGTTTAAAGACATGTTGGCAATAAGAGTCGACTTTGTGTAACGGTCCGCGTCATGTCTCCAGAAGTGGCAGACATGTCGTTGTGTGAGGATGCTTTGCTGGCAGCTGCACCATTCGTTGTTTTGTGAGCCCATCGAAGAAGACAACAGCGACGGCGAAGCACACCAAACTCTGGCAAACATGATAGAGGATGATACGTGTCTTCTAACACGCACAATAAAGCAGAAAGGAGTTCCAACACTTCTTAAGGGTCTCAAGATCTGACTTCGAGTATTTGCTGCAACTGACTGGGAGCAAGAGAAGTAAGCAGGACACAAAACACCGTCCAAAGACAGCCTTGCCGCGACACTGCGCTTTTGGGCCACAGGAGCCTCCTACACCACCCTTGGAAATACGTTCTAGACTTCCAAACAAGCAATCAGTCCGCGATCAGCACTTAGTCAACCCTAACGTCTTCTCTCTTGTCCACTCCATGTTGGTCTGTTGGTTGGTGGGAGGTCTCTAACACCACCTCGTCCGCGCCAGGACTGCTGCTAACACGTCGCCCAACGAATCCGCACCAACACGTCAACTGCGATGGTCCTCAACGACTTACCAACTTCCTAGCCAACTCGTCAGTCTCAATGTTCCCACCGTGTTTTGTCACCGGTGTGGACAGAGCCTTGCTTCTCAGTCTATCGCGGCTGTGAACTGAATATGTAAAATGTGACTATTTTGTCTCAATTTGTTTTTTGATGCTATCAGGGTGATTACGTCATTATTTTCAGTAATTTACAATCAATAATGGTAATAATGATGAAGACAACAATAATGATGATAATAATTAACATTATTATTACCATCGTCGAAAACAGACTCAGTATTGCAGTCATCATCATTACTATTGTTATTATTTACCTTATCAACATTATTATGAAAGTTATAACAAACATGCTTATCATTATCGTTTTTTCTCACCTATAGCATATGTTGATTTGAATCTGTTGTCTTGTTTTGAGTGAAACAAAGGACGAAAGTGCATTTATAAAAAAGTAAAAGTAATGATCAGGTAAATCGTCGTTTTCAAAAAGAAGAAACGTATATTAATGAAAAATGCTGCACCTCATCATGCCCACATGCGTACAAAAATATGTGTATTTATAAATGTACATATGCATATATACAAATATATATTCTGTAGACGTGTAGTATATATGTGTATGTGTGTGTGTGTGTGTGTGTGTGTGTGTGTGTGTGTGTGTGTGTGTGTGTGTGTGTGTGTGTGTGTGTGTGTGTGTGTGTGTGTGTGGTGTGTGTGTTTGTGTGCCTGTGTGTTTCTGCTGATGTTTGTATGGATATATGTACTTACATACGTAAATAAAGATTATTATATATAGATAGGACTATCAGTGCATAAACTCTCACACAAGAACGAAAAGAGAACCGCGATCTGGCTTCCAAACAAGCAAATATACACTTTCGAACGCAAAAAAAAGATCATCATCGGAATGTTAAAAAAAGAATGCCCTCAAACAGGCCAAGCAGTTAGTAAACCTCGCCTTACCTGTACATTTTCATGAAAAAAAATCTTGCTTCTAAATTTCGCGAAAATATCCATACCTTATGATACCGCATGCACATAGCAATCACCTCACTACCTTTAATGGACCATGCAAAACGTACATCGTACAGAGTCTTGTACGAACAGATGTACATGAGAATTACTCAACATTACAGTAACACACAGAGGGTCTTTGGAAGAGGCCGTACTCACCGCCAACAACTACTACACACTGAAAGCCAGTTACGTGTGTTTGGGGATATCGACGCTCGTTGAACTGCTGGTTATTTCATGTTTTTTTAATAATTATCTTTGTTTGTCATGGTTTGTGTGGTTCTTAGTTTACGGTGTCGTGTTTTTTTTCTGTTGGCTGTACGTATGTAATTTTTCTTGTAACACTGTGTCGCTTATGTTTGCGTATATATGTGCTTTCAACAGTCATTTCACATATAACATTTACATACGTATATATGTTTTCTTGTCTACATACATGTATATATATTTACGAATACCATATATGTACAATAGCACATACAAATAATATGTATATATAATACACACACGCACATACATGCTTTGCAGTTGTTTGTTTCTAAAACTAAATTTCCCTTCAGATCCTTTCAGATCTTGCAAACATTCAGAATGTGCTTGTACTGTATCCTGAGCCAGCGAACTGTGAATGTGTATTGGCTTTGTGTAGAAATGCAGCACATTTGTGTTAAAAGTGAATGTTGCCGAATCCAAAGGACATAAAACTCCTCTTTTTCTTCGTGGTAAATTATCAAAAATTTATTCGATGACGTATTATTTACAGATAATATGGTACAAACTGTGAAATTCAAAACATTATACAAAGTGCAAGCAAAAAGGCTGAATGTAGAATGAAAGTAATGCCATTTGTTTATTAGGGTTATTAGTAGTATACCACTTGGCTACCAACGGCAGGCATGTGTTTGCGGAGACCATAACAGAGTGGTCGGGTTCTCCTGGTCAGTCTAGCAAGCGCGCCGCATGCACTGCTGCGGGAACATACATGGTCAACATTCCTAACGAGCGGTGATAAAGGGTTACATTCAATCTGCCTTGAAATGACACCCGCTTCCGCTCCCACATCAGCATAGATTTGTCCTCATTTAATGAATGCTATGATGAACGTAGACGAATGCCAAACAATGTACACTCCCGCAGGCTTTCGAATAATTTTGCGTTGGAGGGACCATGAAAATATAGTTTATTAGCATACCTGTTGTGATAGATACTACACAGCATTATACCTTGTAACTACATCCCCACGGATATATATAATTTTTTTTTCCTTTCTCTGTAGCCATCACCTAACACCGGGTTCCCTGTCATGTTAAACAGTACGTAGAACAACGGATATAGAATACAAACTAAGACAGATTCGAGAAAAAAACAACAACAACGAAACTTGGATAACAAACCAGAACTACTAAAGAACAACACATGCAAACCCTCATGACATGAGATAAGACATGCCATGAGCCACGTAACTGAGATGAACTTAGGTTATCCCGATGCATTACCATATCATAGCACCGACCACGTGCCTGACTGTCAACTAGAAGTCTAGGTCAGCATGGCAACCCTCGACTGGTATGACATGGCAATTCATTCTCAAAATTGGCAAACGAGGCGTCAAAGCAGCGAGTGAGAGCAATGCAAAAATGTATTCCATGTACTGATATAACACAGCAGCGCACCTCGTGTGTTAATAGAACATAGTAAATACACATGATGTGGCACTGTAGCCATATAACACATTTTTAAAATGGAATATGAAGGCAATGAGCCTAATGTAATTATACAACATAGCAGTACACATGGTGTGCAGACAAAACGCTTATGTGTTAGCATAGCATAACAACGCACCTTGTGTTAGTACAACACAACAGTATACATGGTGTGCAGACAAGACACACGATGTGTTAGCATAGCAGAATATCACACCAAGTGTGTTAGTTTAACATGGCAGTACACTCTGTGTGCTAAACGAAAATACCAGAACAACAGACTTTGAGTTTATATAGCTAGTAATGAAAAGAAGTGTATATTCCGGTTACTAACGATACAACTGAGGACCCAGTTAACTATTGTTGAAATTCACTCCTTGTGTGTGACCTCCAGGTGTACAAATAGATCTCTTAAGTAAGCCGTTTTTATGTTTTACTAAAACGTGTATTTGGTATGCCACTATGTCTTACTTGAAGCAGTGTGACTAAATAGCATTATAATTCAAAGTATTAGAAATAATCAAAATGTGAAAAAAATATTAGCATTGCATAGGAAGATAACGTTATGCCAATATTGATAAAATTAATGATGATAGTGTCGGCGCATTGGTGCAACTAGCATGTCTATAGCTGCACGGGGGCATCCTTTAGAACAACTACACAGCTGTTTAATTAATAGGCATCATTATACTTGTGAATCTATATGCAATGTTTTCTTACTGTGCAACTATGTAACTCTAAATAAAAAGATATGAACTAGATTCTGAGTCTGAAACATGAAGTACTACCATTTATCAACTAAATAAGGCAGCTGGTATGCTAATGATCACACAACAGTGTCTCCGATATGTCCTTGTCTATGCATCAGTATAACCGTCTCTACCGTGAATCCAGTATGTTAAT